ACTTCATCTTCTTCACAGCAACCTCCTGAATGTTAAAATAGCTATTGTTCTTCAATTTTTAGTTTTGACATGACAAATATATGATTGCTTTGTTGAGCACCATTCATGAATCTAGGTAGAATTTGCATACCTTCTCTAACATTCCAAAATATACCTCCCCATATCCTCCAGCTCCAATCTTTCGAGTTTCGTCGAAATTATTTGTAGCATTATCGATTTCCTCAAGAGTATAAACTACTGGTCTTTCTGATTCAAATTGTCCTGCACTTTTGCCAATATTTACAACATAATAAGCAACAATGTTTCTCCCTTCAGGATGCTTTCAAATATTTTTATTTTCAAGTTACCTTGCAAAGACTCTTTATGAAATTGATTCTTTAAGGAAATAGTTCTGTTGGCAATTGATCTCTTGGAGACAATGTTTGGACCGTCTTCGCTAGTTTCATCGGGTTTTTTCCTTCCGAAAATGAGAAAGATCATTGTCATAACTGAAAGTGATGCCACACCTGCTAAGATCCCAATGATTATTACCCAAATGTGTTTTTTCCCTGCAAACAAGGGAAAACCAAAGCAAGAGAAATTAGATTTCCTACTTAGCATAAATGCAACTGTTTGATTTCTTGTTCCAGGGGCAAGCATATTTAAGCAAAAGTTGCTTATTTTCAATTTGAAGAATGCCACTGATGTTGGCAGAGTCCAAAAGTTGCTGAATTGATGCAAGCTCAGAACATTTTTAAGTTATGAATCATCACATACTATGTTTTAGTTAAGCACATACCTAAGTGATAATACAAGAAACTAAATTAATTCAATTCACAGAAGAACACAATAAAAAATAAGCAAATATCATGCATAATCAAATCATGGAGAGGTTGAGGTAGAGATAGCTAACCTTTTCCTTTGGATTGTGGAAGCCCATTCAATTCTCTAGGAACAAATATCACCCAACCAATATCTATAAATGATGGGTTCTGATTCAGAACTTGGTTCATACTGATCAAACCATCAAGTGTAGCATTTAGAAGATTAGTAATAGATGTTGGTGTATCACTCCACTGGACTGTATATGTTACAACAATTTGAGAGTCACTTTTGGAACACCCACATGGAATATGTATCACTAAATTCTTATTTGAAACCAATACACTGTTAATAGACCATGCTTGGCCACTATATATCATGGTTTTTATGTCCAAAAATTTATCATTTGGTTTCACCTTGTAGGTTGTATCATAGAAATATCCACTAAGGTCTATGGTGTTTTTGCAAGAACAAGGTACTGTTATGAGGTAATCTTGTTTGGTGCCACGCATTATAGGTTTGATTTGAGAGGGACTAACAGAATAAAAAGAAGCTATTTCATCTATATTGAGACCATAGCTTATGTGATAGAGTGAGGCATTGCATGAAATGATCTTTGAATAACACTTGAAAGGTTCCATGTAGGTTGATGATTTCCTTGAAATTTTAGATGAGAGCACATTAACGAATGAAGTTGCCAACAGAAGGAGGAGGAGAGAAAAAAGAAGTTGAACTAGAGAAGAAGCCATAGTTATGTTGTGATCATGAAACTTCTCTATGTAAAAAAGGAGAAAACTTGGAATGATGCAATGAGCTGTTTTCAAAGTGAATCTCTTGCATTTGTCATAATCTGTTTGTTGCTTATATGATACAAAAACATATTTCACCTATATTTGAGGATAGGCCAAAATGCTCCATTGTTTTATTATTATTTTGTATTTCTTATTCATTTATATTACTTTTTTAAAAAGAGTAAAAATAAATGTAGATGATAGATTATCATTATGTGAAACTCTTATACTTTTGATGTATATTTTTTTTCTCTTCATCTAAATCCTTAATAGTGTTACATATTAAATTTGAACACCGTGCTCTTTCTTCTATAATGAAGTAGGTATAAACTCAGCATTGACTTGGAAATTATAATGATGAATTGATGATGATCACAATACTATTCTTTGTTGCCATATTGCATGTCTCTTACGAACAAGGTTGGGGCATATTTCGTAAGATCACAGACGACAATACTGGCCAAATTACACCCAGTTGAATATAAAGCCATAGGGTATATCCCACCGAATATGAAAAAACTACAGATTGTACAATAATGATATATTTACACCTTGTCAATTTAATTACATCATATTTTCAGCAGGATATAGATATTTTTTTGTTTCATACAAAGGAAAGCTATCATTGTTAATGAAGCTAGCAATTTATCCACAACACCCATGAATATTTATTATTTTTAAAAATGAATAAAAGTATCAACTTTCAAGGGTGGAACTACTACTGTATTATATTGATTATTACTTTGTCATATAGAGTTAGCTGTAATAAGTGAAGGGTTATACCATGAATTGTTTTTAAGGGTTGAGTGTAAAATATTCACGAATGACTTCTCGAGAAAAAGAAAAGGCCTTCTAGGTATGAATAAGAACATTTTAGAGTACTGCAACATAGTCAAATAAATATCACAAAGTCTCACTTAAAGGAACCGAGATTTAAGGTTAATTGTTGGATAAATAAGGTAAGAACCGATCGTCCATCTAAAAGTTGACAAGATTAAACTATTCAAATAAAAAGTATAGAAAAAAGTGTATGTCTAGTATTTTATTTTCTATAGGATATGTTATTGGATATAGTAAAGAAAGAACTACCCCAAGGGCCAAATATAGCTTATATAGTCTCCCATTTTTTGTCATTCCAAAATGATGAAAAGAGATTCTAACCTCAAATTATAATTAGCACTGACTCCAAATTAAGGCTCTACATATTTAGAGCAACTAATTTCGCACGCCAATTTCTTCCTTAATCAATAACAATAACACAACTAAAAAACATTGGTTTAAAAAGCTGCTTGATTCTCCAACACTGGCTCAACTAATTCTCCTCCAACGGTTAATCACTCAAGTATAAAGGCTTAGACTATAAGCGTCACACACTAAATCCGTTCTGCATGTTTTCCATTAAAATTTTATTTGAGAGGTTACTTCAATAATCAGCACCATAATAAAAAATAATATTTTTCCGTTAAACTAATTTCAAGTTTCAAAGAACAAGTTAGGTTATAAACACAAGCAGACATTAAATATTGAGTTTTTTTTGTATCAATATGAAAATGGTAGGGTTTTTTATTACGACCATTCTGATGTTCCACTTGGTGATGGTTCCATGCGTGGCTTTTATACCACGAGAGTGGTTTAACTTTATTGGTTTTGGAAACGGAGAGGGTCAGAAACCACAACCTCTATTGAAATATGATCCAGGAGAACCACTAGTATTGATAGGTAATGAAGCAGAAAATCTAGGAACTGCAGATCCTGCAATGGCTACCAGAACTGATCTAAGGGAAAAGTTTTATAGCCGAACTTGCCCAAAAGCAGAAAAAATTGTGGCTGATGCGGTTGCTGATACTTTTAAGACAAACCCAAATGCACTCGCTAACGTTATTCGTCTTCAATTCCATGATTGCTTCGTTGGGGTAACCTCTTCCAAACAACTAATTCATCATTTTTTTTCTGAATAAATAATTTATTATCATGCTTTTTCTTTGTCGGATTTTGGAGCTATGTCATTGAAGAAGAAATTATATCAGTTTTTTTTACGCATGATTGAACATTAATATATTAGTCATCATTAACTATTGGCATAAGTAATACATGGTGGTGCTAAAAGCATTGTGGTTTAATCTAGAAAATAAATTTGGTACAAAGAAAATATAATAAATTATCTTCTCCGACATAAATTATTTCATTCATTACTAAAATTATGATATGTGTCTTATTTAATTTCTTTTTATCTGGTGTAAAATAGGGATGTGATGCCTCGCTCTTGCTAGATTATATACCCTCTGGTGATCAAGTGGAGAAAAGATCTGGGTTTAATGGTTTACTCCTCAAGGGTGCTGATCTTATTGATGATATAAAGTCAAAGCTAGAACAAGAGTGTCCTCAAACAGTGTCATGTGCTGATACATTAGTATTTGCAACCAACGAGGCTTTGATACTAAGTGGTCTGCCACGTCAGCGTCCCCTAGGAGGGAGAAGGGATACACTCACTTCCCTTGCTAAAATGGCTGATGATAATAACCTACCTGCTCCAAACTGGCCATTGGAAAAGATGATAGAAACTTTCAAAAGGAAAGGGTTCAATGAGGAAGAAATGGTGATCCTACTTGGTGCACATTCAGTTGGTTCAACTCACTGTGATTTCATCATGTACAGGGCTTATAACTATAAAGAAACTAATCAACCAGACCCTACTTTACCACAAGGGGTGGTTGATGAAATTAAAAAAGTATGTGTTGATGCTAACACACCCAAGTACAGGAACCCACCTATGAATTTTGATGAGACACCAACAGTGTTGGATAATCTATTTTACAAGAACATGGTGGAGAGAAATAGAACATTGCTTGAGACAGATGCATATTTGTTGAATGATCCTAGAACTGCACCAACTGTGCAGCAGATGGCAACTGACCCTGAATTGTTCCATAAGAGGTTTATGGAGCTGATGAAAAAGTTAAGTACTTTGAATGTGCTGACAGGGAAGGATGGAGAGATTAGGAAGACTTGTAGGTCCACTAATTAAATAATTGGCATGTGTCATAAGCTAAGTGTATGAACATGTTACTTAGTTATTAACTTAAGTTATTAGATGTTGACCGGCTAGTGGGAAGAGAAACATAAGAGAAATGTTTTCTTTTGATGAATGCCCAGATGTATGGGTCAGTGTAATTAGTTCTAGTCCATCCTGAAAAAAACATCAATGTTTTTTTTATATCAAATAAAATCTAATTTTAAATATTTTTACATATTTCTAATATTACTTAATACAAACAATTTCACATTTGTCACATTCAAAATCAAAGCAATTATTGACATTTATGTAATTAGTTAAAAGTATGATGAAAAATATGAAAACATAAATAAAAACAAAAAATAATTAAAAGGGAAAATTCAAAAACTGATTTGGTGGGAAATGCCAGGCTCATGCTTTAGTGCAACCCATGAGCGACAAATGGAAATCCCAGTAGCAAGCTACTATAGTGGACTTCCTCCCTTAAAAAATTAATTTAATATCATATGGACCATTGGTCCACATATCAGATATTAAACTGATAAGAACAGATACTACACTTGATCTTAGCCAAAAGGCCGAGAAAGGTATGCTTAATATTGAAGGAGGACTCAGCTTTTATACTTAATGTCTTGGCTGTTTGTTATAGCTCAAGCAGTGTGGGACTTTAACACTAGTGTCAACATGGCTTCAGATAACCTACACCAAGAACAATATTAGAGCTATATCCATTCTTTTACCAAACCCCCCGTTATGAATATGAGTTCAATCACGTAATAATCTTCCCCAAGATTCTTTAATTGGATATGTTGCTACTGGTATTCTTCTCCAAACTGGACCATCGTTAACCATTATGGTCAATGGTAGGACTTGAAGGTGCTAGAATAGCTTCAACTGCATGTTCAAAAAACATTGTATTGGTTTTGGATCAAAGCTGAACCCGCCATTCAAGTCACGTTTGTTGCTGAATAACACCAATGAAATGAAAATGGCAGCAAAACTTTGAGGGAAAATTATGACAATATATCCAGTTTCATGAGACAAAGACTATAGGTGTCTTTAGTATGCTAAGAAACTTGAATGGTTTTTGAACATCCAGATTCGAAGCTGGTCTAGGACGACGCAAAACTAACTATTCCAAAGTTATCTAAAACAACATTTTATTTCTAGAAAGTGATATGAAGCAACAACTACTGTGTGTAGTTTGTGGACAGCTCCGTAAGTTTGAATAAAAAATCTACACTGTTTGTCCTTGATTATATCAGCACAAGTGAAACATTACAGACTCGAAAATTTCAAGGACCAATCCTAGAAAACTGCTTTGTATGATTATCTTTAATCTCATTTAGAAGAGAGATCAAAGTGTATATAAATTTTAATATGATTATTAGTGAATTTGGTTGTTGTTGTTGATAAGTAAATTTGATCCTGTTGCCAATCATGCTTCCCTTATAGTTGGTGTTTTCATGAGTTTAGAATGAGTGCCACCTATGGTGTGTCGATGTCCATTTTTTCTTAGGATGTATGCCACCTAAGGTAGTCTTTTCAACAAACTAAGATGTTTATTTGACCATACTGTTTTTTACATTTCTTCCTCAGAAGAGCGTATATTGGAAGTAAAATTTATCCCATGATATTGTTTTGCATTTATTGTAATATCTACTTCAAAATTCATATAGCCTTCATTTGGTAGAGTAGAAAAAGAAGAGAGAGAATAAGAGGAGAGAAGTTAAGGAGAAATAAAGTTTTTTTCCCCTTTGGTTTAGGGGGAGTTTGAAGGGAGAGAAGGAAAAAGGGGTGGGAGCCATCAAATTTGTTTCTCCTCCCAAGTGAGGTACTTTTCTCAAAATATTATGTACTACACTATTCTTATATTGTAACTTGTTAGATATTCCTGTCACAGTGTCACCTTTTAGTAGTAGTTACTTGCTGTTTACTTCCCTAGCACTAACCCATATCATTGAAGTTGGAACTACTTCAAATATGTTATATTTTCAGAATACCTGTACACTACAATGCCTATCATGCTCTTTGAAAAGTCTCACTGGTTAGTTGCTGATGGAAAATGTTTTTGGCCCTTTAAGAGTTTAGGCATTATTCAACTATTGTTTTTTTTTTTTTCATTTCAGCAAGTAACAACAACAGATCCATACTTACCATTATCGTTATTTTAATTTATTCGCCATACACACAAGATCAAACACTCGGACAGAAACTACCAAAATCCATGAGGCTTGAAGTACATGATTATTTTTAACACAATATTCTAAGAACTTTCACTAAGCAGCAATTCCTGCATGAAAGAAACTGAGGCAGATGTTGGAGTAATATCCTTAGCATTAACAATAAACCAATTTTTTCAGTCTTCTACTCCCTTGCAACTATTCTGTTACTATAAGCCGCACATAAAATAGCTCAACTTTACTATCAATATTCAGCAGGTATGTTCTTCTGTCCATTTTATTTTGAGGTTGTGATGAAAATAACATTATGTTCCTTTCAGATTTGTAGACTGGCTGATATGGAGCTTGCAAGGCTTAGAACCTCAAATGGTGGCATATTCGTCACCTCCTTCACTGTCAAAGGGCATGAATCTGTGATCCAGAAGTAAGTGAATGCGGTCTCCGGATGCCCTGTGAATGGATTAGACAAGTCAGAAATTGCAGAAGGTGAGAAGGGAAAGTCTAAAATGTAGGCCATTGAATTAATATTGGGTTGATTAAGAGAACAATGCTTTTTGTTAACACGGAAGAAGAAGAAAAATTCCCTCAGTTCCTATTAACTGAGTACAAAACAAAAATTCAAATAGCAATTACTGAAAGCAACACTAGATTTTGTGAGGAAAGAATCAATAACACAATGGTTTCAGGATTTGCTCCTAAAATGTTGAATCTCCTCCAAATAAAACAAAAAAACCACAAACCAATGATGAGCCATCTGAAGGTACTGACATGAGTTAGATCTTGGCAAAAACTAGAAACTAGAAAGTGGTGTGTAACAAGAAAAAAAATGGTCAATGATATAAAATAGAAGTGATTAGGTTTGGCATATTTGTGCTGAACAATAAATTAAAGGGATAATAAGCTGATGAATTAGTATGAAAATTTAACAAATATTTCAGATGATTTTATTTTCCTCTGTAACCAAGGAGAGGCAAAGTACATGGCTTAATGAGCAAAGTAAAGCAAACATTACCCCCATTATCGTGCCCAAAGCGTTCCCATGATTTATTTGGAAAAATACCATGAGTCACGTAGGCACTGATCTTCGTTGCTCCTTGAGCTGCCAAGACTTTCTGAAAAATGACGAATTTATGAGTTAACAAAATAGAACAGAAAGCAACTTTGACATAATAAATAAAATAGCGCTAGTTATGTAAGAGTCCACATGAATTGATGTCTATACCTGGCATTCTATCAAAGTTCCACCTGATTGAACCAAATCGTCAACAATCACAACATGCCGTCCCTTAGGTTCTCCCTCCTTAATGCGAACTATGCGTTGATTTCCTTCCCGTACTTTTGTACAAACAATCTGCATGTGTCATTGTGTAAGTGCTAACAGATAGAAGCATCATTGCCAATAGGTATGTTCACACTAGTAGCTGCTAGACTAGTGTGATATTTATAATATTTATGACTTTTGCTAAATTTGATAAGCATTGTTAGATGAACTATATGCAATACCGTTGGGAAATGCTGAAGTTGCATATGAAATCGTTTCCAAGCACCATCATCAGGAAAAGCAATTGATATCTGAAAAAGAAGAAAACCAGAGTTGTCACTTAATGTGAGATAGTGTGAAAGCAATTACTAATTACTTTTTCAGTCAAGATCTAAATATAAGCCTCTTTCAGTTTCCACTGAAACTACAGAAAATTAATTTGGAGAGTAGAGTCGTAGAGTAACTGGTAAAATATGAGAAACAAGCTTTAAAATGACAGATAGTTACTAAGTTCATTACTTAAACTCACAACAGGAATTTCCATCACATGCACAGAGAAAAGGCAGAGCAGTGTATAAAAAAATAAAATGAAATAGAACCAAAATAAACAGAAATAAATATGCAAGAAAGACTCACATTATCAGAGTCAGGGAGATCCTGGAGCCTTCTTTTAAGCAATGGTATGCCACTCTCAAAGCACGGTAAAATGTTGTCACCAAAGTAGAATCTCTCCTGGATTGCAACAAATAATCAAATGACCACGGCAAGTAATTTCAGAGTGAGAAAGAAAGACAGGGATAACATGATATGGACCAATCAACATTAACAGTAAAAAGCAATTCTACCAATATGAGACAAGAACCTGCAAGGCATGGATGTCAAATGTCACCAAACTAGTAGGCCCTCCCCTTGAAATTGGTATGTTCGACAAAAGCCTGGCCAGAGTAAATGCTGTGGCAACATCTCCTTCATCCTCCATACGCTCTGAAGTGCCGGTGGGAAAAAATGGAAGGACAAGGGTAAATGAGGCAATAAACAGTTTTGGCAATGCATAAATGACAGGGATCTGCTCAAAAATTACAGCTGGGGAGCTGAATGAGGCCAGAAAAGCTACATGCTGCCCACGAATGCCTTGAGCATTAGGAATGAAAATGTTGGGGAAGCCATCAGGAAACTTCCTGAAGTTTTCAGTTGTATAAAGTATTTCAGTGAAAACATAAAATGCACTAAAATGGCAAACAAGCCAGAAAAATAACAGCCAGTACCAAGGCACCATAGCAACAGTTTTAACCTCGGGCATCAAGATTCATCATAGGGCAGCCTGACAAATATTTTGTCCATGACAAAGAGTCCAATAGTACTAATGTAAATGAATTGAAATATTCATGACTTGTTCGAACTCACCTATATGTGTTTGATGCTATACATAATCAGTCTTAAGCTTGAATAAAAGGTAAAGTTATGCTAGGTAGTCGACAACCACGTAAAACTTTGTCGAATCTCTATGAAAATTAATTCAAGGAGAATTAGCAAGAAATGAGCGAAATGAGTCAAGTCAAGCTTCAAGATTTTAAACAAGTCAATCTCAAAATTTAGCTCCTTTAAACAAATGAGTGAAACTTGAACTTTTTCCAACATGTCAAGCCTAAACATTAAGGGCTCGTTTGGTGGAAAGGATAAGAGACACATGATAGAATAGTCTATCCTATCTCGTTGTAATCCAGAGTCTGGTGAGCTAGCAGGATAGGATAGAGCTATCCAGAGTTTGGTCTATCCTATCTTGTTCACCTGGTGTATTTTCTATTCATGTAGGAGTTATGTTAGAAATCAGCAGGATGGGATAAATACAATATTTTCCCTCATGCCCTCACATTTGAATACCAGTGTCGCACCACCACCACATCAATGCATCGTCATTTGATGGGCACCAAACACATACCCTCACATTTGTTCTCTATCCTATCATGTACTTATCCTTTCCATTTACATGGCCACCAAACAAGCCTTAAGTATTCAGGTTGGATCAACCCCATCAACAGCCAATAGAAGAAACCTAAGGAAATAGAACATCTCTGCAAATTACAGAAAAGTTGACAATGTCAAAGAGCATCCAATATTGCAATTGATAATTTTCTCGTAATGGCTAT